AGCAGACGCCTGGGGCTTCCTTGGTTGGAGCGACAGCCTGAGCAATGGCCATGTGGCCCAGGACAGCCTGGGCTAGACTCACGCAGGACAGCCTGGGCTAGACTCACGCAGGCAGCCTGGGCTAGACTCACGCAGGCAACCTGGGCTAGACTCACGCAGGACAGCCTGGCTTCCTCCCGGGCCCCTCCCAGACCTCGGGAAGGAAGCGTGAAAGTCCAGGCTGCTCTTCTCCAACCCTGCCCTGAGAAGGCCCTGGCCCCAGCTCTCCAGAAGGGAAGGGAGCAGCAGCCAGCCCCTAGCTGGGTACCCCATTAGCATCTCTGTCCGCCCCAGACTGAGGCCTTGGGAAGCTGTCGCTGCAGATGTAGTGAGGCCCCACACAGCCTGTGTGCCAGGGTGGCCAGGCACTAGGGCCAGGCAGTCCCCCTCACTCGCCATCCCTCCCTAGCAGGTTCCTCCTAGAACTTTCTTCCACCAGACCTCTGTGCCCGGCTTCCGTGGGACAGCTTTCACCCTGACCCCTATCGGACCTGAGCCAGGGCCTGAAGAGTGCCATCAGCCTCCCCCAGGGGCCAGCTCAGGGTGCTGAGGAAGAGCGCGCCCGCGCACTGCCCTGCCCCGATCGGGAGGGAGAGCGCGCCCGCGCACTGCCCTGCCCAATCTGTTGAAGTGGCTCCCAGCCCTGCTGCCCCAGGAGGAAGACGCTGCAGCCCAGAGGCTCTGAGACAGAAAAGGGTAAAGGCCCAGCAAGTCCGACTCAGACTCCCTGCACCGGCCTTGGTCTGCAACCCTGCCCCTGTGAGGTCTGGTGGGGCTCTGGCCATACCCTCCATGCAGGCTGGGCAGCTCAGAGGGGGCCGGGGACGCAGGGGCAGAGCACACGCCGCCGCCACAGCCTCTCCCGAGATCTCAGGCAGGAGAGTAACAATCGAAAGTCGGCTGTGAGGTAAAGGCTTTAATGTTATCAAAGTCGTCTGTACAAGTCAGCGAGGCTTGGTCAGGAAGGGACGCGGCGACAGACACTGAAACACAGATTGCATCAAGGGGTCCCACCCAGAGGGAGACGCAGGGCACAACTGTCTTTTTCTAGAAAAATGTAGG